CTTCAGCTACTGGGTCACACCAGTCACATTCTGAGTGCTTAATAACCACACGTAGCTGCAATATGACAGCAAATACACAACATTTCCATCAGGCTCCAAACTTCTATTGACCACCATTGATCTAAAAAAACAGAACAGAAAGAATAGATCAGTACAGATATAGTTGAAGGGAAAATGTGGTGGTGGGAGTTTGGGCAAATCCTCTTCTGAAGATCTCTATTTTTCAAGTCAGAAACGAAGCCAAGCCATTAGCTCGGAAAATAGGAGAAAAAGGCTGTGGAGATTTGAAATGTGAAAAGGAGGTGTGACAGCAGAACAGAAGACTAGAAGAGGGAGAGGGAGAGTCAATGGATTATGGACCCTTCTGAGGGTCAAAGATGGTTAGAGGCAGAGTACTCAAAGAAAAATCTGGAAAGATTAGAAAGTATATCAGGTCCGGTTCCCTGCAAGCAGAGAAATGGGATTCTTGGGCAAGTGACTCATCAAGGGAATGCTCTCTGGATAAACATGTCAGGAGTGAGATAATCAAGATACAGTGGAAAGAAAAGCGAGGCAGATATGCTCTCAGCTGAGATCTGGCTTTAGCATCATCTCAAGGGAACCACTGGAGCAGGAATGACACCACAGTCTTCCCAAGTAGAAGCAGGGATTGGCTCTTGAACATCCATGTCAATCAGTCATTGGCTGGGACTATGTTGACTACAACCCCAGTTTGCTCAGAACTGAGGAGTTTCCTGGGATGCAAGGTTTTTCAATGCTATACCTCGGAGAGTCCCAGGTGACCTGGAATGATCAGTCACTCTACTAGGGTCTGTACCAGCTACAGGGCATAGCCTTCCAGGTATTTCTGGGTAAGACGGCTCCAATCTGCTAGGTCCATTCTTCAGAGAAGGAGGCAGCTGTGAGCTGACAACAAACTTTCACCACTGCTGGTGACTGGGTGCACCAGTCAGGTAAGGGTATTGGAACTTGGGCACCAACTGTGTCTATCACAGAAGAGAGTGGCTGGAATGTAGAATACTTAGAATTACAATCATGTGGAGGGGCTGCAGTTACTGATAAAGACACAGTTTAGGAGGTCCCCACACTAAAGATGTGCTTGAGGAAGAGTGGGCTGCAGAGACAGGATTACCCCTGAATAACTATGGAGCTTTCTCTGGGTTGTCTGGCAAAGGGAGCAGAGACTAATCACTGTATTTCCCCGAGTGGGGAAGGAGGAACTCTGTATGATCAATCTCCTGAAAGATCTCTAAGTGCTATTTGCACTATTCCCAGTGCAGACAACTCTACTGAAGAAATACACATGAAATTGCTTTAAATCTGTGTTAAAAAAAATTAAAACCAAAAACAACTAAAATAAGAGGAGATTTTATATTCATATTTAGGAAATGTGTTCTAGGCAAAGAAAGTATTTTGTGTCTATGGTATGGAGAAAGAAGAGAATCTGGTGGGACAATAACCTCACCGGGCAATGGCAGGGCTCTGATCAGAAATTAAAGGGTTGAGTTAACACAGCAACCATGGAAACAGAGATTGGACCAGTTTTACTGAGAGACACTTTGAAAGTGTATCTGTTGGTCTTGACCTAGTACTCAAAGGGGAGAAAGAAATTAATGGAAAACTTCAGGATTTTAGCTTGACTAAGCAGCTGGGAGACAAGAGATATCATTAATATCAGGAATAAGAGCAAGAAAACATCCAAGGTAATTCAGAATATTCATTTTGGAGTTTTAGCATGATTAGTAGGGAAAGTGATTGTCTTTCAGAAAGAACGTTTTTTGGGGGGCTGGGATCGTGGCTCAGCAGTAGAGTGCTCACCTAGCATGTGCGAGGCCCTGGGTTCAATCCTCAGCACCACATAAAAATAAATAAATAAATAAAGATATTTTTTTTAAAAAAGAAAGAAAGAGCTTGCTTTCTATAAAAATGTATGCATTTTTTTAACCAAGAAAAACATTTAAAGAAAACAGGAAATATGCTTTCAAATAGTGTTAAGGGGAGAATATTAAATAGGTGTGATGCAAGTTCCATCTAATTTTCAGATTTGGAGGTAAGGAGATCATCTTTTTGGTATAAGATGCTAAAAGTAACTCAGAAAAGAATCCCACTCCTGTTGGGGTTGTGGCTCAGTGGTAGAGAACTTTCCTTGCATGCGTGAGGCCCTGGGTTCAGTCCCTAGCACCACATAAAAACAAATAAAATAAAAATAAAGATATTGTGATCATCTACAACTAAAAAAAATATATATTAAAAAAAAAAAGAACCCCACTCCTAAACCTACCATTCCTCATTTTACAAAGAGGAAACAATCTCAGAGACTGACAGTTGCTCAACTAGGTGGAATAAATTTGCTGTTAACAACAAGAGAAAAAATAGCAGCAATAGTTCAGTGCATTTTCCACATATCCTTTCACAAATTTTTGGTGAGTTATTCTTCTAAGTTGCAAAAGGTTATTTCACTATAATACTTTTATTAGTCATTAAATTTAATTAAAAAGACTCAAGAGAAGGAAAAAAATTGATTACATTTTCCAGCGTATTTGCTCTTTTCATTCTGTTCTGTTCCTGAGGTTTTGAGACTCCTTTTTTCATTTGATTTCTGTTTAGAGACCTTCCTTTATCACTGTTATAGGAAAAGTCTACTGGAAACAAATTACGTTTTCCTTCATTTTAGAGTGTCTTTTGATTTCCTCTTATTTCTTTTTTCCATGTTTGTTTCTCATGTCTTAGTGTCCAGGATTTTTAACTGTACTTACTGTAAAAACGGGAAAGTAACCTTCATTTCTTTATGATTAAAAACAAAAATCCCTCTTTTCATATTCTATTTCTAAAGCATTTATAAACCCTGTGTCCTTCAAGTTTGTCTTCAATTCTGAAATTATTCTGGAATCTAAAATTCTTAACTTCTAAACAATATTTTTTAATTTAAAAAATAAAATTCTTAACTTCCAGCCAGGCATGACAGTGACTGCCTATAATCCTCCCAGCAATTTCTGGGGCTGAAGGAGGAGGACTGCAAGTTAGAACCAATCTCACCAACTTAGTGAGACCTTGTGTCAAAATTTTAAAAATAAATAAATAAATTTTTTAAAAAAAGATCTCAGAATGTGCTCAGTGGTAAAGTACCCCTGGGTTCAATCCCAAGAACTAAAAAAAGAAAAAAAAGCAAACAAACAAACCAACAATCAAATTTCTGAATTTTTCTAGTTCTGATTAGATTGTTCTTGCATACTATATATTTAGCTTGTTTTGGAATACTATATTGTAATTTTCATCAGTTTTATATTTTTCTATATTTAATGCTTTCTGTATGAATGGGCTTATTTTATTCCATACTCTCTTTTTTCTGATAAGAACTTTCCATGATATTTAACCTTGATATTTTTAAATAAAATTGCTTCTCCCTGGAGCTGGGGTTGTAGCTCAGTGGTAGAGAGCTTACCTCCCATAGGTGACGCACTGAGTTCTATCCTCAGCATTACATAAAATAAACAAAACAAAGAAATTGTGTCCATCTAGAACTAAAAATTTTTTTTAAAAAAAAACTGCTTCTCCCTGTGTTTTCACTGGGTAGCTGCAGGATAGTTCTACCTTCTCAGCTCTTGAGCTCACTCTTTGCTGTTGCAATGGAATGTTCACACAGATGGCAGTTCCCATGTTGAGAACACCTCACTCTGTTCCCTTCTCACTGAACCTTCTCTCACTTAGTCTCCACTATCCCTGTCCTGTTCATTATGAATTCTATTCTCAGCATTTCTCCTCAGTATGGACTTGCTCCTGCAAAGAAATTGTGGCTGGGCAGTTAAAGAAAGATAGAAACTTTGGCTGGTTCACTTTGAGAATAAATACAGCACAAACTGCTCCAGACCCTTCAAATTCTACTATGGATCCCTTGAACTTACTCAGCTACTAGAATATACAACATCCTCCAGTCCCAGCTGTGGCTCTCAACATGGTCTGCTAAGCCCATGAGTGAGTACCTTACAGCCATTCTGAATGCCACGGGCCTCCCACTGCTGCTCTTCTGTGCTACTCACTCCTGCACAGAAGGTGACCCATGCAGGGCTTATAGCCATCAACAGTTCTGCCCCACACAGTTGAGAGTAAACCTTCAGACAAAATTTTCTTACAGATGTTGCTCATTTGTCTGTTTTTGTTTTGTTTCTGGTTATTTCACAGTACTAGGCACCCTACCACTGAGGTACATCCCCAGACTTTTTTTATTTTGAGTCAGGGTCTCACAAAGTTGGCCATGCTGGCCTCAAACTTTAAAACCTCCTTCCACAGCCTCCCAAGTGGCTCATTTATAATGCACATACCACCATGCCAGGAACTCAGGTGTTTATTTTGCTATCCTATTTGTTCTGTACTAGTGACTGTATTTCATAGGATTCAGAAACTATACCACAAGTGCCATATTTCTATCTTGAAAAATAGATGCTGGTGTTTTATAATCTTCATTAACACAAAAGGCCTAAAATAAACTTTCACATCACAAAATCACAATGAGTAAGTATTCACAAATTTCTTCTAAAAGAAAGTCTCCCTACAACTATTAATTCAATTAACACATAAAATACTCCCCTATATATATAGCCTACTATAAACAAATAAAGTAAAATACCAGAAAAAGTATCTCAAAATGATAAATTAGCACATGGCTTAAAAATGAATACTTTGGGGCTGGGGCTGGGGCTATATAGCTCAGTGGCTTGCCTAGCATGTGTGAGGAACTGGGTTTGATCTTTAGCACCACATAAAAATAAACAAATAAAATGAAGGCATTCTGTCCATCTACAACTACTAAAAAAGTTTTTTTGCTAAGAATAGGTTAACGAACAACGTATTGTGGTGCTCAATTTCAAAGATTCAGTATATCTAAAAAGGCTTGGAAGATTTTTTAGTAACAGGACTGATGATTTCTTTTCCTTTTGCTTATTTAGGCTTAATTAGAAAAATGAAAAACTAAACTTCTTACAAAAAAATTTAAAATAACTTACGCTAGAACCATGCTGTAATCTGAGTGGTTGAACATATATCCTCCAACAATCCACATTATGTTTCCATTGACCACAGCTTTATGAGATGCTCTGGGCAGCTTTAAGTTTGAATATTCTTCTCGAGTCCAAAATGACTGGTTAGCTGGCACAGGAACCGAACATCCAGGGCCTAATGAAACATAATAAATTAGCTTCACTGAATGCACCTGGAAAGTTTACTGCACTTCATTTTAAACATATAAATGCGAAATTTTTCTAAAGAATATTTAGTCTCTAATTTAGCATCTGTATTTCAAACAAATTTCTTTGTGGTTTTAATTCACTCACAGTATTGATCCCAGGAATCCCTAATAAAATTCAAAATCATATACTTTCTAATAATGACTTGACCATATCCAATGTAGGTATTTCAGTATCAAAAGTCCTACTTTATCAGCTTCCGGTGGGAAGACTACACAAAGAAATTATTAATTCAAATTGAAAAACCTAAAATGTAACAACTAGACCTAGGAATGATAATAAAACAAACAAACAACAACAACAAAAAACTACCCATCTTTTAGTAAAGCAAAGAACTCAACAGAGGTAAGATACAATAACAGATGTAAGGTCTGGCTTCTGCTACACTCTTTGCAAGTAGTTAAAAATTGGTACTCAAACATGCCAATTGTTAACTACTTAGTATCACCAAACCCAACAGATGAAAGCATGTAAACACACATATTTCCTTTTAAAATGAAAAGGTTCTGAGGAAGGAATAAGTATATAAACAAAGTCATCAAATCAACAACTGCCCTTAGCCCTTATGGAATCCCCTAAAGCACCTTTAACAAGCTATTTCTCTAGATAATAACTTTAGGTGACTGCTTTAAGATTCTAATGCATAATCAATTTTCTCAGAACATGGAGAAAGTTTTAGGGGAAATAGCATTATTGTCAGCTCTTGTCCCATCTCCAAACTTGGTTCTATGCTATGTCCTCTTATGGCTGAGACCAAGTTCTTAAAACTTTCATAAATGAACTGCAAAATGGAAAACCTCTCCACAATTCTAAGGAAACCACAACCACATAGGTGAGACATTAAAAGATTTGTAGGAAACCGCATAAAGGGAGGAGAAAGCTTACATGACCCCTGATATATGATGAACATAAGTTGTACAGATGCTAAGAATAAGGTTAACGAACAATGTATTAAACTAGAAACAATTTGTGAACGGAAAGAAAAACAAGAGAAAGAAGCTCCTACCCTGCCATTCAGAGAAGCAGGAGCATCCTCGGACATCACTTGAATTGCAGATGCCTCGATGAGGAAAACCACAGTTGTTTGTACAGTAAGGAATGTCACACGAGTCACCTTTCCAGTTTTCAGAACATTCACACTCCACATTGCCACTGCTGTTGCTGGTCTTACATTCTCCTCGGCCTGAGCAATTATTCGGACACATGTCAAAACTATAAAGACAGTGAAAAAACTAAGTCAACACAAACCAACACGCCAATGAACTTGGCAGAACTTCCTCCTACACAAGGCTTAAGGATCTCCCTGTCTCTTCAGTTCATTCACAAGCATAAATGCAGTGTTTACCACTCAACCCAAAAAGGGTCCCTCCACACTGCACAGCTTGGGCATGTGAGCTCAAACCCACCCTGGTGGAGGCTCATGAGAATAGGGCAAAAAAACAAGTAACTCATAAAGTTAAAGAAATCACAAGGAGAGAAGAGATTTGATCACATTTGTGCAGATTTAGCTCCTCAAGTCTGGGACAACTATCCTATTCTTCTCGGTAGCCCACTAGTGACAGGCGCTATACAACTGCCAAATTCATGTTTGCAAGCGTGGGAAGGAAGAGGATAAACTTCCAACTACACTCATAGTACCAGTAGCCCTCTGAACATCTCTGAAAATTTGTAAAACTTAAGATTATTGCCCAAAATCTTATATTTTAAATTATTTAGTAAGCTGACCCATTTCAGATGGAATGGACGCAGGTTTATTTTAACAATGTGTGAGTTTAACCATAATATATCTCTTATTAACATGGCTTAAGATAACTATATAGATAGTGCTTAGAAATAACACAAAGGGGGCAGATAAATGAATTATCATGATACTCCAAAAACATAGACTTGTTCTACTACTGAGTACATGGCAACTGTTAATATTTATTAAATTGTACTTACCAAAAAAAAACCAGTGTTTTTATCTATAAGCAAGAAATGCCCCTCTCTTCCAGGAGAAGCTCAACAGTAGCAACACCTGGGTTTAAACTATAGCCCCACCACTACCACTTATGTTAACAACTTATTTAATCTTTTCACCCATTTCCTTAATTGTAAAATATATTAAAAAACTTTAAATGAGAAACCCATGTAATCTGCTTACTGAAATTCCTGGCACAGTGTAAGTCCTCAATATTTTAATATTATTATACTATTATAACATAATTATTAAAACATTTCATTTAAATACAATCACAAATATTAGATTTAAATATCTTACTTGTAAGTGATATTAAATCCAGTCAAATTATAAGCGGCATCGCTAAAAAAATGCAGAAGGGCATAACCTGATGTGACAACCACCTCGGGAACCGTCTCATTGCCATCTCTTTCAGGAACAATGAGGCCACTGAAATGGAAGCACATTTCTTATAGCACAATGTCAGCTGTGTTAAACTATAGCAGAGACAAGTCAAAAGCTCTTCTTTACAACTTTAGAAAGCACATGCAGGCAGAGGGGTGAATTCCTGTGATGGAAGCACACAGCTACCCTATTAGTTGTCCTTCTTTTACTAGGTTTCCTTTATTCTGGGTTCCATTTCTATAAAATTTGAAATCAATGGTTCTATTTTTATACACCTTTTAAAAATTCTCTAAATCTCCACAATCTTGTAAAGTAGTAAACTTTATGAGTTAATAAATGGTAAATATGTAGTACTAAAAGACACAAAATATTGTTAAATAAAATATTTATTTACATAACAATATAAAGAAGCTAGAAAAACCCACAACTCCGACACTATTGGCATTCTGATGCATTTTCTTTCCCTAATTGATACCACTGGCATTTTATGTTCGATTTTACACATAGCATACCATAGGTCTTCCCTGTCACTAAAAGCTCCCTAGGCTCTCCCAAGGACCTCACTCAGAGGCCAGCACATAATATTCTAACTAAGTACTGCTTTGGGGCCAATAAATCCAGGTGAGGAAAAAAATGACTGAATCGAAGGGTCTTATTTTCCAGAAGTGAGATGCTCAATTGAAATCCTGTCTGATCAATCCAGATTGTCTGATCACACCACCTCACACCACCAACAAGAAGGATTACCAGTTCTAAGTTAGCTTTGCTAATTTAATACATGACTTTTTGTGGTTCTGCATTCTTTTCTACTCCTGAGGTTAACAACTTTCCTATGTCTACTTGCCATTTGCATTTCTTCACGTGCTCTGACTTTCCCACTATCAATTCACCTCCCCCACCATCACATTCAGCCAGTGCCTAGGTCCTTACCAACTCCCATGGAATCTGCTGCACACGCTCCCACTGATGAATGAACATCAACTAGTACTCTCCCCTTCACTTACTCACTCTTAACCCCATTCCCTTCCTAGAGCACACACCAGGTAAACTCCCACCTCAGAGTCATAATCATCTTAAATGCCCATTCACCCTGACCTAGTGATTCTCTTTCTTTGTAGAGGACATACTTGCTCTCCTTCACAAAAGAAAATATACAAGAATCCTAATTGCAGCATCACTCAGATGGTAACACGTTGAAAGCATCAAAGTGCTCATCCACAGGGAGCTGCTGAATGAGGCCTTGGGCATCAGGAGCTCACCCTGGCATTCTGATGGGGCAGGAAGGTGCAAAACAACAGGCCTAGATGATGGATACCATTTACCTGAATAAGTGCAAGAAGACTACATAAGTGTGGAATGAAGACAAGAGGGCATGGGATTTCCATTTAATTTTTAATATGAAAAGAGAACTCTAGGAAACCTAACACTCAGAAGGCACCCCAGGGGTGTCCAGAAAACACTGACATATTTTCTACCAGGTATTCAACTAACAAATATTTACTAAGTGCTTACTACATGGGAGACTCTGTTCTAGGTATAAGGATAACGACAGTGAAACAGACAATGTCCCTACCTCAAGGAGTTCAGTTAGAGAAACAAATAAGCCCTGACACATCCTCACATGCAAGTGTGTATTCACACAGGCCAGGCAGAGATCATACCATGAAGGGAAACAGGGCAGAGAAGAGAACAGGAGGTACTGGGTTAGAAAGGCAGTTGGGAGGGCATTCAGAAGACGTGACATTTGGTCAGAATCTTAAGTGAAAGTTTTGCCATCACCACGTTTTCATTCACTTTACACAGAGGTCGAGCAGCCTTTATCCAAAAGCTTGGGACCACGTGTGTTTTGAATCTCAGATTTTGTCAGATTTGGCAATATCTGCATATACATAATGAAATATCTTGGAGAAAGGACACAAACAGAAACAGAAAACTGATTTACATTACATGTAAACCCTCCAGACATATAACCTTAAGGTGATTATTTATATAATATCTTTAATAATTTTGTGCATAAAACAAAGTTCCATGGTGTGGAACTTCCCACTCGTGGCATCATGTCAGCATTCAAAAACTTCTGTGATTTGGAACATTTCAGATTTCTGAATTAGGGATGCTCCATCTGTACCAGAATGTTGAAGGGATAAGTACTTGCAAGAGCAGGGCTTCTTACAAACAGGTATGTCAAAAGCAATCTTCCCATAAGAAATATAGGCACATTCCAGAAAAGATCTGGGACTGCAGTCACAAGTGGGAGGTCCTTGCACTCTCTGTTAGTCCAGCATGAATTTCAGGATCAAAGTTACTTGAGCTCCAATCCTTGCTTCATGTCACTAACATCTTTAAGCTCCAATTTCCTCAAATGCACATAGGAGGAATCCTGTCCAGCTCACAGTGACATCATGAGGATGAAATTGGTGGAGCATATGCAGGGCTTAAGCCTCCCACTAGGAGGTGCTCAGTAAGTGATATCTGGTGGCCTTCTTCATTTGGTGGGGACATTTAAATATGCAGGATGAATGACTTTACCAACTAGAGAAAGTGGATCAGCTTTCCCACTGTCAGGGAGGCTTAGGAATTTGCTACTATTTGCTTCAAAAATTTGAAATTGTGACAGCTTTGCAGTGTGTGGATTTCTCCCAGTGTGAAAGCAAAACTGGTTTAAGACAAAAATAAACTTTTACAGAGTAAATGAACAAACACAGCCTCCTTCAGCACATGAGACAAAGGAAGGCCTGTGGGTGAGGAAGGGATGCTACAGGCTTGCCCCAGCTGTTACCCTGAGCAGCCTCCAATGGGAAGTTGGTAAGTGCAGGTGCAGCCTGGGCTGTAACTACTTATTAAACTGGAGCAAATCAAAAATGGCCTGCCCTCAGGTTGCTCAGGATTTTATATTTTAAACACAGACCATCATTGTTTAGAATCAATTGTAAAAAATCATAGAAGTAGATAGACTTGGCCTGTTTTCAGAAGGTATTCTCTGTTCACAGTCTTAACAATTGAATCATCACAATTTTACTTGCTTCAAAAAATAATAATTCTAAGGCTGGGGTTGTGGCTCAGCGGTAGCACACTTGTCTGGCATGTGTGAGGCACTGGGTTCAATTCTCAGCACTACATATAAATAAATAAAATAAAGGTCTATCAACAACTAAAAATATATTAAAATAATAATAATAACTCTAAAAGGAACAGTGTTCTTTTGAAGAATGTTCTCAGGGAGGAAAATCACTGTCCTGCTGAATCACCACAACCACCTTTGCATCTCCTACCTATATACCCTAGCAGAATGCCTGCACCACAAGGTACTCATGCACCTGTGGAATACCCAACAAATCATAGTGCTACAGGACTGCAAGAGTCTTAAATTGCTTTAGTGGTTCTCATATTTGTATGGTAATGCAATTCTGTTAAAGTGATTTTATTTAGAAATCCAATATATAAAAGATAAATGTGATCTACTGGTTTGAAGTCAAATGAAACATAGTTTACAATAAGCCCAGAGAGAATACAGGTTAAACTAACACAATAAAACAACTTCATTTTCGGTTTCGGAAGCTGCGTTCTAGAGCATTTGAATGATGTACTCAAGAGATTTGGGCAGACACATTTTCTGAATCTTGCTTAGTTTTTTTTCTTTTTGTTGTTTCTTGGTCCTGCCTGAACATCCTACTGCCAGCCTCCCTCTACTCTGGACCCTCAGCATATCACCAATTGGTTGAATCCTCTACCCAAAGTCCTCTTGTCCCAACTGTACTCCATTCCTATACAAATCATCTTGTGGAGAGACTCTTATTTGAAATTGTTTTGCTCACCAGTGCTTTAAGGGTTTTGTGTTTCAGGTAAATTCCAATTGTTTGCATACTGTTTTATTTTAATTTTAGGAAATTAATAGTCAAATATGCCATAGGTTAAATTTTAATCAGTATCACTTAAACAACTCTCTGTACATATACTTCAGCTTCTCTTAAATACCACTGATTAGAACAAGCACTGCTTCCTATTAGTTTACTTGTTTCTATTTCAATTCACATGTCTGCTCATTGAATACACAGTTTGGGGAAACCATGAAATTACACACATCTACTTGGCACATGTTCCTACAAGGGATACTGACAAGCTAATTCAAAATGCCTGGCACATAATAAGGCTCCATGAATTCTAGTTAACAAATTAAGTAACACATGAATCCACAGCAAGTACTATGTTCTCCTAACAGCATACTTAAGTTTTTATGCTTTGCTAAAGTTTGAGATGTCTCTTGCTATAATACAAGGCATATTTCAAAGGCTGACATAAATATATATGGGCCCAACACTTGCTCTTAGTCAACAGCAGGTAAACTTGGTAGTATCATCACGACTTAAATGCGTAGCAGACCTATCCAAGGTCTGTTCTTTGGCCCTGTACATGAACCTGTAAATATCCAAACATAGCTGGGTATGGTGGTATACTTCTGTAATACCAGCCAATCTAGAGACTGAGGTAAGAAGATAACAAGTTTGAGGTCAAGCAGCAACTTCATGAGGCCCAGTCTCAAAGTAAAAAGTAAAAAAGGCTGCAGATGTAGTAAAGCACCCCTGGGTTAAAATCTCCCAGTACCAATAAAATAAAATAAATACCAGAAAATAGCCTACAGTCTCAGCTCAAAGTTATATCCAGAAAGCTTTCTAAGCAAAAAGCGTGGAGAAGTACAAAGGCACATCAGTCCCCTAACCTCTTGGCCGTTCACTCCTTATGTACTCCTTATTGCCTCTCTTACTCATGTGAGACATCAACTGGACTAACACCAAATAAAGAACACCAAAAAAATTGTTGGTTTTTTTAAAGTCAAGAAAATAAAATCTTTCAAGGAACAAAATCTACAAAGTCAGCTTCACATGTAAAACTAAGCACTATAGTTCCATAAGGGATATACATTTTAGAAAAATATATTTTTAGAAGAATACACTTATACATGAGAGGATCTTAAAAGTTTTCCTCACCCATACAGAAATACAGGTACACACGCACATGCACAAAATTATAACCAGACTTTAATTCAACAAATAATTCCTATGAACCTATGCAATGAGAAAAACACAAGAACAAGATGGGCATGGTTTCTGAGTTAAAGTTTTCACATAAATATTCAGTATATTACTCACATTTATACATTTTTTAAAAAAGTAAACTTCGCCCCCACCATGAAGAGCAGATAAACTTGATAATACTATCATAACTTTACAGATTAGGAAACTGAAGAGAGATCAAGCAATATGCCCAGAAACCAATCGAGAAGCCCAAGAACCAAGTCAGGACTAGCACATAAACGAATGGACTCCAAACTTAGTATTCATTCCATCAAATGAATGTATTAGGTGATATTACAGTGAATCCTATAAGAAAGCAATGCAAGACAGAGATTTAAATTCAGAAATAATATAATGATAACCGATTATTTATATGACTGAGCTTACCTAAAGGCAGCAATTAGTGGTGCATAAATTGAGTCCCCATCATAAACATATAAATGGTCCCAACTACACTCTGTAGCAAAATGATTGAAACGAAGTCTCATTATCCTATTTGGCCTGAAAAAAAACAAAAACGAAAATAGTAATTGATAATTATCATAACTATTAAACATTGGAGAAAAAAAAGACTAAGAATTTACAAGAAAAGAAATAGTTATAAACAGCATTCCTCCATTTGTCAAAGACTCACTTAGTACTTACTATGTGCAAGAGGGCATTAAACATGCAATGGGAAACAAAACAGATGTGGTCCATGACGCCTGGGGCTTTGCAGTCCATTTAGCAGTCTGGGACAGCCAGTGTTTAACAGCCTCTGACCAATGCATTAGCCCTTCCACTTCGCACTTCCTTTCTTATTCAACTTCAGATTCCACACTCTTCATTTCACAAACACACCTATCAGTTCTCTAAACTTGCCTGCCCTCTGCCTCTTCATGGCACTGCCTGGCAAAAGCCCTCGTCTACAGGAAAACATTTATCAGTTTTGACTTAGATTGAATCCAAAGAAAACTGAGCTGTACTGAAGAAGTCCTGCCACCAGGCAGACTGCTTCCAGTACCCATCTCTGCTCAGCACTTCACATGACACTTGGATTCTGCCCGCAGTCCTACCACTATCTCCCTCTCCCTCTCCACAATCACTAATTTTCAGGGACTATTTCAAACCTTCCAATTTCACCTTCCTGTTTATGCTTTGCACCTAGACAAAAATCCATGAAATTCCCATTTCCTAAAACAGATAAACCTATTTCTACCTACATCTCTCAAATATTTAATATTTCCCTCTCATGGGAAAATATTAAGCAGATTTAAATCTGCTTAGTATCCCATATTTAACAAAGCAAAACACAAAAGTTCTGATGAGAATGAGTTCATTGAAGAGATTAGTAAAATGGAAAACAATGTCACTCTTCTCACAAAAGTTTCTTGAAATATAAGAAGTTGTTTTTCCCCCCCATTAATGTGGCATTTAGCTACCAGGTACTGCGTTTTTAGCTGTTACTTTTAAATAAATTCTTAAATAGTATTTTTCACATAAATATTCAGTAATATTACTCACAAAACATAAACAGATATAGATATAACCCATATAAACTAAAGTTATTTGGAATCCTCAAAGGTAAAGAGTATGAAGAGGTTCACAGACTAAAAAAGTCTAAGAAATATGCCATAACAGTCTACCATGAAGAGAAGGAAAAAAAGGAAGCAAAAGCTGGAGGGATACATGAGGTCCAGAGAATGGGCATTTATGTAAGAATGGTTAGTCTGATTTTTTTCATCACAATAACAAAATAGGTATTTAGGAAAAAACACAATATTATAATATCATAAGGCACTAAGCAAACAGTTAAAAAATATTCTAGCAGTTTTTAACCATTGCCATTGAAAATATATAAATTTCTGTTGTGTACAATTCATTTCTGTTAAATGTACTTGAAGCTTTTTTTAAATTAACAAGGAAAATTAAGGTGCTAGAATATATACATCAGTTGTAGAGAGCTTTCTTAGCCTACACAAGGTCTTGCATTCGATCTCCAGCATTGCCAAGAAAAAAATTTTAAAAAAATTTTTAAACATCAAAAATCACTTGTCAAATGAAAAGTTATCAAATAAGAAATATTTTAAGTACTTTATGGTACAAATTACTAATTTCATTTGTAGGAAAAGTAATGTCATATTGAGCTCTATCCTAAAAATAAACTTAAAAATAAAGTCAGCCATTACTACTTACTGTCCTTCAATGAGCCACGTGCACTTCGTTTTATATTTATAATTTCCAGGTCCATCTGTTACAAACCCCGAAGATCCAGTCAGTCTGTAATTCAAATTAAAAACAAAAAGTCTGTCAGAATTTCATACATTAATAATTTATTAGTTCTCAAAATATTACAAATTAAGTAGATTGGGCACACCAATGCATGTTATAGTAGAAAATGACTAGACGGTTATATTCAGATTGAACAAATTTTGCCACACACTTTTAAAAAAGGATACATAAACATTATAATCAAAGAGATGAACAACAATGAAAAAAAACTGCTTAAATCTTTTTGAGACATGGAAGTCCTACTTTGTACCATTAAAAAGGGCCACCAGAACTTATTTATAAATATGAAAAATACTGCATAGTTACAGTTAGAAGTAAAACAGTAACACTTAAGACAGCATAATTGTAAGGGCAAGACACAAACCCCAAGACACAATGAACCCAGCCACCTACCCATCAAGGCCATTTAGCTGCTGCTTCTGAAGTGGCCATCTACCATTCTTCCATAAGCAGAGTACCCCCTGTCTTCCCATACTTGTGCCATGCCTTAGTTTTTTTTAATAGTTTTAGATCTTGCCAATATGATAGGCAGACCCTGTTATCTAATTCTTTTGACTGCTATTAATCCTAATGTCTGAATATCTTCTCATGTTTTGGCTATCTGCATTTCCTCCTTTGTGAACTAAGATTTCATATTCTTTGCTTACTTTGCTACTAAGCTGTTTTTTTTTTTTTTCAAATTAATGTTTAGGAGCTCCTTTTATGTATTATGTCACATATACAATATTTTCTATAAAAATATTTTCCTACTTCACTTTTTCTTTTATGCTTTGTATTCTAGAGTCTCTAGCTACACAGAAATTTTTAATATATAAGAAGGATGCTATTTCTTTTCTCAAAGCTATTTCCAGATCATTTTCCCTCCCTCTTCTATCAACAATGTCAGCCTCTCTGAAACAGCCAATCTCTTCTGGATCTGCCTCCCTTATTTTCTGGGTCAGCTACTGACATCTCAGTCACTCCTCCTCAGACACTGAAAATATTAACAAACCATTCATTGTCTTCCATTCATCTGCATCAAAATCCAAGATTCTTTCCAAAATCCAGCCTATTTCATTTTTTTATTAGAGCATTATAGTTATATATAATACTTGAGTTCATTTTGACAAAATCATACATTCATGAAATTTGATTTCAATTCCCAATCCTCCACCCCGAAAATTTTAAGATGATTTTTCTTGGCCTTCCCCTTTCAAATCTCTCTGACCTTACACTAATCATTTGGCTATTCACTAAAAAAAGGGAATTTCAAGTTAAAAACTGGCAAAATTTAAAAGGGAAAAAAAAAAACACCTATAGTTCATGAGGGGATGTGAATAGCATATTCTCAAACATTGTTGGCTAAATTGTGAATTGTTACAGCCTTCTGGAAAAATCACTGACAACGTGGTTAACAATGAAAATTAGTTTAAGTTGCAGAGGACACAACATCTTTATTTATTTATTTTTACGTGGTGCTGAGGATAGAACCCAGTGCCTCATATGTTCGAGGCAAGCACTCTACCACTGAGCCACAATTAGTATTTCTTTTTGGCCCAGTAATTAAGGCATTTCAACAATATGAGGCCAGGAATATCAATAATAAATAAACTCCTTGCCACTACCAGTTTTTCAGATCAAAAATACACTCAGGATAATGCTACAGTAGAAACAACAGGGAAACCTTCCAGGAGGCAGGTTTCAAAGGAATCAACATAATTATTTTTTTCTAATTTATTTGTATTTTTACACAATAATGTGCCCTATGAAATTTTTCAACTGTTAAGATTTTCCTTCTAATCAAGTACCTTGAACACTGACAAACTTTAAGCAAAGTTCTTTGGACATTAAAAAAAAGAGAGGGAAAGAAAGGAAGGAAGGAAGGAAAGGAAGGAAGGGAAATCTGCCGGGTGGCACATGCCTGAAATCCTAGCAACTTGGGAGGCTGAGGCAGGAGGGCAGAAAGTTCAAGACCAGTCTCAGCAACTTAGGGAAATCCTGACTCAAAATAAAAAAATAAAAGGGGCTGGGGATGTGGCTCAGTTGTTATGCACCCTTGGATTCAATCCCTAGTACCAAAAAAAAAAAAAAAAAAAAAAGCTATTGCAGGAATCTATAACACTATTTCCACTATTCCTTTATATAAACATAGTTAATTAAAAACACTATTCTCTTATAATATACTCTTATTATTTTATCTACTAGATATAATTCTGTAAAACTATTTTTTCTTTAGTGGTCCTAGGGATTAAACCCAGAGCCTCCCCCATACTAGACCAATGTTCCACCACTGATTTAAATCCCCAACCCTTTGTACATTTTATTTTGAGAGAGCATCTTGCTAAATTGCCAAGGCTTACTTCAAACTTGTGATCATCCTGGCTCAGCCTATACTTAGTAGTTGAGATTATGGGCCTGTGCCACCAACCATGAGTCCTGAAAACATATACGACTACTCTCACATTTCTCACATTATTTTTGCTTAATGGATTTCTTTATTTGGCCATCTAAGCTTATAACTATTAGACTCTCAAAAGATGTCCCTTTTATCATGGTTAATACCTGCTTAGTTTGATGCTTAAATACCAACTTATCTAACATTATTAATGATTACATAATTTTGTTGTTATTTGTCTGTGCCTTCGATCTTTATCCAACTTTTTTATTTTTATTTTTTCCAGTACCATGGGTATTTTATCACTGAGTCTCATGTTCCACCCCCAACCAACTTTCTTTTTTTTCAAACAGGGTCTTACTATGTTGCCAAGGCAATCCTCAACCTTGTGCTCTTCCTGCCTCACTCAGCCACCTGGGTAGATGGGATTACAGGTTATATGCCACCATGCCCAACAGATCTTTACCCAACTCTTTCACATTTATTAACAAGTTTTCAAGTTTGTTTGTTCTAAATATGACCTGGTTAGGTTTTGTTTCTTATCTTAGTCTAACAGTGTTTTACTGGCATGTTATCTATTCATATTTAATACAATGGCCACTGTACTGATTTGATTACTTCAATCAAATATTTTAATAAACCTTAAATGAGGAGTAATTCACATATAACAAAATGTGACCACTTAAAATGTACAATTTGATAAGTTTTGATAAGTGTATACATATGTAACCTTCCTCATATGATACAAAGCAGTTCCATTACCCCCCAAGTTCCCTCATACCCCACTGAAGGTAATCCTTCCCAACTGCTGTCTCAAGCACTGACCACATTTCTGTGACAACAGATTAGTTTTACAGAACTTGATTTAACAGAATCATAGAGGCATTTTTGTGTCTCACTACTTTTGGTCAGCATGTCTGAATACTGTATGCATCAATAGTTTGTTCTTTCATATTGCTGGGTAGTTAGTACTCTACTGTATGAATATGCCACAAATTCTTTATCCATTCTCTTAATGAACAATGACCACTCAGATTATGTAGTTTTAGGCTGTCATAAATAAAGCTACTATGAAATATACAAGTATTTGTGTGGACATGTGTGTTTATTTCTCTTGGACAAATATAAAAAATGAAATTTCTGGGTCAAAGTATATTATGTACTTAAATTTATAAGAATTGCCAAACTGGGCTAGGGTTGTGGCTCAGTGGTACAGCACTTGTCTGATATGTGTAAGGCACTGGGTTCAATTCTCAGCACTATATATAAACAAAAATAAAGGTCCATTGAGAACTAAAAAAAAAAAAAAATTGCCAAACTATTTCCTAGTAGTGATGCCATCTTATACTCCCACCATCAAAGTATGAGAGCTCAATTTACTCCATGTTGATGCCCACACTTGTTATAATTAGACTTTTCATTGTCCATTCCAGTAGGTGTTGTGGTACCTCATGGTTTAAATTTGTATTTCTCTGGTAATTAGAGATTTTTAGTATCTTTCAGATGTTTATGGTTCATTTCCACATATTATCTTATGACATTTGTTCTTATCTTTGCCAATTTTTGGCTTTTCTTTTTAGTGATACATAATAGTAAAATCTTTATATGACAGTAAAATCTATCACACACACACATAAGCATGGACTATATCATATATGGTGTTTTGTCTTCTATTTCTGAGTTATAAGTTCTTCATATATTCTAGATGCTAGTCCTTTACCAGACATATATTTTGCAAATATTTTGTGAATCTACATCTCACCTTTTTGTTTCCTAAAAGGTGGAAAAGATTTTAATTTTGACTAAGTCCAATTTTTCCATTTTATGGTTAGTGCTTTCTGAATCTTAAAACAAATCTTTGCCTATACCAAGGGAGGAAAGATTTTTGTCTCCCATTTTCTGTACTAGTTTTAGCTTTTACACTTAAATCTTTAGTTCAATTTGGGTTAATTTTTGTGGATGGTATGAAACACAGTTCAAGATTCACTTCTTTTTTATATGAACATATAGGTGTTTCAGTATCATTTGCTGAAAAGGCTATTCTTTCCTCATTCAGTACCTACTTTGTTAAAAAAAAAAAACAATTAGCTATGAATATGTGGGTCTATTTCTGGACTTTCTCTTCTATATGAGACTCATCTTCATGCGTATCACAATATTTGATTACTCTCATTTTATAGTCTTGAAACAAAGTAATATAATTCCTCCAAATCTGTTCTTTTCAAGGTTATTTAGATTTTAATTGGCTAATCTAGGCCCTTCGCAATCCAATATATTTTTTGTCCAAATCTACAAACAAAAAAGTTTGCAAGGATTTTGATAAGTATTGTATTTAATCCATAGATTAAATTTGGGGAGAATAAATATCCTTAGATTCCATAAGTATGTATATCCCTACATTTACATAAAACTTCTTTCAATATTTCTAACCAATGTTTTTTCACTTTTTAGAGTACAAGCTTGGTATATCTTTTATCCTCATTTTATACCTTTAAAAATTTGCTTTGATTTTATTTTCCAACTGTTTCTTGCTAATAATAGAAATATAATTGATTATAGAATATCTTATTATCTAACAACCTTAATACATTCACTTAATAGTTTAATACAGTCA